GGCGAGAACAAAATGTTTTATCTTAAAAAAACGGCCGCCTGCTGCACTCTAGCAGGCTGCTGCAGAAGCTAACTGTCAGCTAGCTTCCAGGTGCTTACCCTCCAAACAAACGACTGCTGAGCAAAAACCGTAAAAGGTATTTGAAAAATTCTTTCAGTGAAAGCAACATCTATCCTTTGTCTCAAATCCGTGTATCATTCGTTCTTTCTATTTTCAATTGCCAATCAAAAAACAAAAACAAAAAAATTGACTGGTTATTTTGTTTTTTGTTTTTTATGGTTAAACCAAAAACGACCAAAAAAAGGATTTGTTTTTCATATTTCAATTCTAAGCTCAGATCAAGAATACGAAATGGAAAAATGGACAGCAACGTAGAATTTAATTTTAATATTTAATCGGTACAGTTTACGTGACCCGGAAATAGCTCTTTGCACGGCAGTTGGGGTAATGAAGTGGCTACCATGGCGAAGCTAGAACCACACACTATGTTGATCGAGAAGCTTTTTGCCAGCGGTTTGACACACGCCGAAATGTCCAGCTCATTGCAGCAGATGGGTATCAAGGAATGCTCTAAGATGAGCATCAGAAGATTCTGTGCTCTCCATGGTCTGAGGAGAAAAGGGTCTGTTTCAGACGCAGAGCTAGATAGCGCTCTGATTCAATCTGTATATGAGGTAAGTTGTCTTTCAGATTTCATTATGATAATCGGCCAGACCTCCACTGTATATTTTAAGTATTATATCTATATAATACACCGACAGTAAATTTGTAATTCTGTGACAGACGGGACCATCATATGGCAGGAAGTTCATGACCGGCTATCTGTCTTCACTGGGGCTGCATGCGGGAGAAGGTCGGGTTGGAAAACACCTAAGAGAGCTCCATCAGCCATACCATGAACTCCGACGTCATGTAATTCTTGTGCTTTAAAAAGTACAGTTTTGGTAATGATAGGCCTAACGTTTGAAATTTATAATGCTACTGAGGTTGGGATCAATCGTGCCAGGATCTCCCACCTCTCACTCAAAGTTTTCTTCTTGGAAAAAGGTTGATTACATTGACGAAGCTACAGTTCAAAAAGCCTCCTTTAATTTCCCATCTCTTCTTTTAACTAAGGCGTCATTTTAGATTAATAAACGTGCATGTTTCTTCTTATTTTGAAATGTGCGGACTCAGTCAGTGTTGCCAACTCAGCGACTTTGTCGCTATATTTAGCGACTTTTCAGACCCCTCCAGCGACTCTTTTTCAAAAAAGTGACTGGCGGCAAATCTAGCGACTTTTCTGGTGTCTGCCGTGGGGCGCCTCCCCCCGTCCCAACCCCGTTTTCCCGCTTCCGCAGATGTCCCTCTCAGCGCTACAGTCAGAGACACAGCATGTGTTCCCTCAGCGTCCAGACAGCAAAAGAACCGTGCGCATGCGCCGGGTTTGACGGCACAGGTTGATCACTCTGGAGTCAGCTCCCTCAGTTCCTGAGCCTGCCATAGAGAGCCTTGACCAACATGACCATGATCCACTCTTTCTGTGAGCAGGCAAGCACAGCCTGTGTGTGTGCAGGGAATTCTTATTAGTTAAAGAAAAAAAAAACAATAATTAACATTTGCTCACATTGTCATTGATTCCTTATAGTCTTTTTTTCCCCATTTAGATTGTTAATGTAATGTAAAAAAAAAAAATTATGGTTCAAAATGTTCATGTTTCAGCATGATTTTTAAGGTCGTTAGTGGACCACAAGGAAAAAAAGAAAAAGTTGAATAAAAAAAAAAGTTTAAAAAAAATATATATATTATGCAAATTAGGCAATGACGTCATTCAGCGACTTCTAGCGACTTATAGCACAGCCAATAGCTACTTTCCTTTCTGAGGAGTTGGCAACACTGGACTCAGTGAAGCGTGGAGTGATTTCAGCAGATCGTGATGCAAGTTGAGCTATGAGCGGAGTCAAGGAAAGCTGAGGGGCTGCATCCTTCAAAAGGACCCGCTCCTGGGTCCTTCGTCCACTCACCCTTACCTTGGCGTTACTCATGTTGCCTAGCAACCGGGACAGCGAAGCAGCTTAGATGCCAAACACATTGAGCCCCGCCCCCAAGATTTATCTCGTTGTATCCATTTTAAATAACTAAACGGTTTTATTTTGCCATTTTATAAATGCATTAAATAAAATCAGGCAAATGAAAAAGGCTGCAATATTTGTTTGTTATTTTTGACGTTGTTATGTATAATTGAGTCGTTCTAAATACATTTTATTAAAATGGTGTTCTAATCTCCCCCTCCCAGGGTGCTCGTAATTTAAATCCTACTCCGTACCATGCTGAATATATGGGCCATAAACTTCATTTAGACCAAAATGAAAAGCTTGGGATGTTTGGAGTTACCCATGTGTTGGCTGTTGATGGCTACAGCAGCAGAATTGTTGCACATTCAACCATGCCCATCAAAAATAACCTTGTGATTTACGAGGATGTATACAGGTGAATAAATTAACAAATAGTATTATTGTCATAATTGTCTTTAGTATATAACCTTTAAAGCAAGTCATTGAATTACTTAAATTCAATTTAGTGATGCAACATTTTTTATGACAGATCAGCGGTCGTGAACCATGGCATGTGGGACCAAGTTCGGGTTGATCATGGCAAGGAGTTCTACCTGTGTCTTTACATGCAGGAGAGGCTGTCAAGATACAGACACAACCTCAGCAGGCCACCATACCTCCAAACCACATCAACAAGGGTGAGAAGTTATTGAAATTATTCATGGTTCATGCACTGTTCCCTTTAAATATTATTAAACATGATTTAACTCTTCCATAAACCCAGTGGAACTACTGTACATGTGCAATTACCTGTCCAGTATGTTTTTATTTTTAATCTTCACATTTTTGTTTGATTTTGTGTTCATCCTTATTTCTAGTTTTGTATAATCTCATCTGTGCCGTGACATGATTTATTGTGTCACACACATACACACAGCCAGGCTCGTCTGCCTGGCTGTGTGTTTCCTGGACAGGGCCGCCTTTTACAGCTGCTTTTTGTATCTCTGCTTCTGTCTCCTTGAACCCCAGTCGGCCTTGGCAGATGGCCGCTCACACTGAGCCTGGTTCTGCTGGAGGTTTCTTCCTGTTAAAAGGGAGTTTTTCCTCTCCACTGTCGCTACAAGCATGCTTAGTGTGAGGGATTGTATTTGAGTCAATGAGTCAATGCAATCAACTGGTTTTCCTTAGATAGAAAACTTTGTATCAATTTGACTGGATGATCTGGTTGAACTGTAAAGTGCCTTGAGATGACATGTGTTGTGAATTTGGCGCTATATAAATAAACTGAATTGAATTGAATTGAAAATTGAAATACTTAGAATATTAACATGATTCTGATCTTAAAAGAAAAATACATAACTTGTTGTTACATTTCCTGCTTTTGTATTTACCTTTAACCTAAAAACATCATGGACTTATCAACAGAACCTTCGTGTGGAGAGGTTATGGCCAGAGGTGAACAATCGTGTGAACTACCCACTTAAACGGGCTCTGGTGCACCTGCTGGACCAAGAGGTTTTGAACATGGAGGATAACCTCACTAGGTTCTGCATGTCAAATCTGACATGTCAAGTAAGCCAAATTGGACTTAACAGAGTTGTGCGTTCATGGAATGCACACAAGATACCAGGTACGCTTAACTGATCATTTTCACTATAGAATTATTGCTTCTTTTTTTCCAATCCAACCATTTTTTTTGGATTACGTTTTAGGTCGTGGAATACCCAATGAACTAGCAGCAGATGGCTGCCTGGCTAAAGTATCCGAGGAGCTGCTGCCATGTGCTTCTGTTGTGGGAAACCTATATGAGCAAGACTTGGGATCCTCACTAACTTGGGAGTCTGTATTTGGAGCTGATCCATTTTCATGTGAAGATGACAGATGCCATGCTGAGCAGATCTTTGCAGAGAACTACCCTGACATCTCTCTCATTTTTAATCATGTGGTAAACAATGATGATACTCCTTTCCAAGATGCCTTAATCTGCTTAATGAATGTGACAGCGAGATATGTCTGAAAAAATTAAATGTTTTAGTTGTGTTTTCACAGCATGTGGTCTGCTTGATTTGCTGGATAAGCAAAGAATTTAGTTTTTTTACTTAACAATTCTGTAGTTCTTCATATGTTACAAAGCTGCCATTATTTCAGTTAAATAATTTTGGAAAACAATTTCTTTCAACTGTTTTATTCAACCTTTTTAGAATTACAAAAGGTATAGAAAAATACAAAAGCTTAGGATATAATTTGAGGTTGTGCTCAAAACTCAACAAAACAGCAACAGAGTCCTAATTTCTAGGTTTTCCATTTTTACTGTAAAATACAGAAAATATACAATATAAAATAGTGCAAATTTAAGGTACTGTCTTAAAACTGAAACACAGTTTTGGCAAAATAAAATAACACTTTGAAGTTGCATAAACATTTTTAAACAGTCAAAAGTGCTTTGAGTGAATCATTAAAACGTTGCAAGAGATGCAAACACAAAAGATGAACAGCATGAACACAAGTAAATACTGTACAGTTTTACTGGTACAGTATTTTGTCTAGTGCAGCCAGTGCATCAGACAATCCAGTAAGTTTTTGTGTATTTTTACCAAAATCATCTGCTCTGCATTTTGGACAAAATGCAGAATTCTGCTGCCATTGTTCAATGCAGCTCCTGCAGCCAACAATGCTATGGCAACACGAAGACACCATGTGGTCGACCACTGGACCTGCAAATTTGATTCAGAAACATATTTTTTTTTAAATTCAGTAACTGCATGTGCTTACATATTTTTTGCATTGAGGGCTATTCTGTTCATGAACCTGGGTACATGAGTTGTACTGACTTCTGTCCGAAGAAGACAAAAGTTTTTATTTACCCTTGCAGATAATACAGGAAAAGGCTTCTTTAACAGCAGCTGCTTCAGCCTCAGTCAAGGACACTGGTGTTCTTCTGTTGGAACTTGCCAGATGTGTCAGCTCCTTAATTGTAGTTGACACCTCCTGAAGACCCTGTGCTGCCAGGACCACCTCTTCAATTGTGTCGTACACTGCCTCTAGACCATTATCATCTCGCCGACTGAAAAGCAGGCAGAATAAAGATGTTATAACCTACTTGGTAATAATAGCAATTATAACCAGCTTTGTATTCATGTTGTCTGATTTATACTTCAAATACACCACTCAAAATATAATAACTCTACCATTGCAACTTCCAATGATCTATTAAACTAATTCATACCTTTTAATTAAACTTTCTACAAGTTAATGTAATCATTGTGATTCTAACTCATGCAATGGAAATTACAGACTTGAATGGCCTTTGTTGGCAAAAATTCCCACCAAGCTAGGCCATTGATGACTGAAAAATCAAGTTTAAATACCTCAGTCTTCTTTTTTTGCTTCCTTGTAACTGCTGCAAATCTCCTTCTTTCACAGCACACACCTTCCTAGCATTTTGTTTCCAAAAAGCGGCTCCTTAAAAGGAAAATAGTTGATTTTGTATTACATAAAATATATCACATTTTCAGAAACAAAATAATGCAAAAGTGTTTTAGTTAAAATCAGGCAGTTAAACGTGCTCATTTATTTATTAATTCATTGACCTCTGGTTCCTTCTGTGTCCAAAATCCGTTTCCCTTGACCATCCGTAAGAATGAAGGAGTCCTCATGTTCAAGGGCATCATTTACTTTACTTGTGATGCCCATGACAGACGCCTCAAATTCCGAGAATCTAACCGTCAGGGTTTTGCTTGTTTCCAACAAGCCTTCCACAAGATCAGCAACAAAAATGGTCCTGAAGATTACAATATGTTTAGAATTTAGATAGATAGATAGATAGATAGATAGATAGATAGACAGACAGACAGACAGACAGACAGACAGACAGACAGACAGACAGACAGACAGACAGACAGACAGATAGATAGATAGATAGATAGATACTTATGTGTTAAAGTTTTGTCACCTTTGGTATGTCTTTGTCACTGGTGCTCTTGGAGAAGGCCACACTGGATGGCTCCCCCACAGCGTCACTCTCTCCATGCACTTCATAATGCCCCCTTACTCTGAGGTCAATGGTGCTGAAGTGACCATCATTTCAAGGAAATATGGCAACATTGGTGTCATCATAAATGTAGACACTGGAGCCATGAACCTTTGCAAAAGTAATGATATATGATTTATACTGAACATTACATCAAATAAATTAACTGAAGTAATTGACCACAAATGTGCAAATAGATAAATAAAAACGTCAAAATTAGCAAAAGGTAAAACAGCAACCAAACAAAATGAACAAAAGGAATTTAAACTATGGCAGAGGGAGACTGCATTTGATGTAACTATACCAAAATAAATACCAAAATAAAAGAAGGCTTATGCAGCAAAATATAGGCTATGCTACGTTGTTGCTAGTTAAAAGTACAGTGCACAAAAAAGTTTCAAGAAAAAAGTTATACCTGGAAAATCCTGCTGATTTTCTCCGTTGTCATGTCCTCCTCCTTAAGAGTCACACGCTTGGATCCTCGAAATAAAACGTAACTGTCCATGGCTGATAGGTCCGACTGCCTTATCTGGTGCAGCTTGATCGAACGTGGTGGGGGTAAGCCAATTGTTTTTTTAGCTAACGCTCCACCAAACTTCCGGGTCACGTAAACTGTACCGATTAAATATTAAAATCAAATTCTGCGTTGCTGTCCGTTTTTCCATTTCGTATTCTTGATCTGAGCTTAGAATTGATATATGAAAAACAAATCCTTTTTTCGTTTTTGGTTTAACCATAAAAAACAAAAAACAAAATAACCAGTCAATTTTTTATTTTTTGATTGACAATTGAAAATAGAAAGAACGAATGATACACGGATTGTCTCAGACTGGGGTAACCTTCATGTCTGTAGGTCTTTCACAACCCAAAACGAAGCACAAACAACATGGTTGGTCCCACCTGCGTCCCCCTTTGTTTTAACTGCAGCACCTCACTCTCACTCACCTTTTAACTGCTAAAGCACCCCTCCGAACAAACGACTGCTGAGTAAAAACTTTGGGCCCGATCCGACGAAAGGTGCGTGACTAGTTACGCGCCGAAGTTTTGGTGGCGAGGAGAACTATAAGCTAGTATAATAATACGCGGAATAAATATGAGCGATAGTAGTAGGTGGGCCATGCCTTCAGCATGTGGCCCCCCAATAAATATGAGCGATAGTAGTAGGTGGGCCATGCCTTCAGCATGTGGCCCCCCAATAAATATGAGCGATAGTAGTAGGTGGGCCATGCCTTCGGCATGTGGCCCCCCAATGAAAGGTTTGCCCCCTCAAAAAACAACAAAAACACCATCAGAGCCAGCAGTAAACCACATTAGCTCTGGCTGCAGTTAGCCTCTGAGGCCTGCTGGTTGCCATGGTTCTCTCAACTTTATAACTTTTTTTTTTTTTTTAAGTGTACTTTTGGAGAACAATGGCAGGAGAAAAAGTAAAATTGCAATGTAACACTCTTATCTCCATGGGTGCTTCCCTGGAACCCAGCTGTGACAGCAGTGCATGCTGGGACCGCGGTTAGTCTAAAGAACGCACAGGTCTGCTCTGATGCATGCTCGGTAGAGAGGGCGGGACGAGAACAACATCTGGGGGTTTTTGTCCGTTCTTGGTCTTATTGTCTTTGTAGGCAATTGGAACAGTGCTGGTGCTGAGGATGATGATGTGATATTTGCTTTGTCTAATAAGCAATAAGCCCAGAGGAGCCGTGGGTTACAAGGATTTTACACCAGCGGGGCACGGCGGGAAGCATACCCACACACAAAAAATTTAATAATATAACTGAGAACAATTTTTTGCATCACTGAGTGAACAGCATACCATACCATTATGCACCGGACAGGACCAAAGTGCTGTACACAATCATAAAATACAATAAAATTATAAAATAAAAATAAAAATGAGTGTAAAATACAAATTAGTATACAAAGAGAATAAAACAAAGTAAAACCTCTTAAATTGTGCCAAAAGCCAAGGAAAAAAGATGAGTCTTAAGAAGGGACTTAAAAACAGCAGAGGCCTGTCTTATGCTCAGAGGCAGATCATTCCACAGCTTAGGAGCTGCCACAGAAAAAGCACAGTCTCCTCTGAGCTTGCATTTTGTCTTTGGGACCCTCAGAAGCAACTGATCAGCTGACCTGAGGGAACGAGAGGGTGTGTAAGAATGCAACAGCTCAGACAGATAACAAGGGGCAAGGCCATTAAGAGCTTTAAAAACAAATAAAATAATTTCAAAATCAATCCTAAAATGTACTGGCAGCCAGTGTAAGGAAGCTAAAACAGGGGAAATGTGGTTGAATTTTCGTGTACCTGTTAAAAGACGTGCAGCAGCATTTTGAACCCTCTGAAGTTGGGAAATATACAAATCACTGACCCCTGTATAAAGTGAGTTACAGTAATCCAGCCGTGTGGTCACAAATGCATGTATCACTGTTTCGAAATGCTGTCTGGAAAGAATGGGTTTTACTTTGGCTAGCTGCCTTAAGTGGAAAAAGCTGGACTTATGTCTTTACTTCAATCAATGGGGCTATTTTTAACTTAATATTAATATGTGGAGGATTTTGAGCAGAGGGATAATTCAGTTGTGCCACTGTTTGCAGCAGCATGCTCCATGCCTCTCTGTCATCCCAGTTTAAATCCCGTAGGACTGGAGAGAAGTCTCATGCTCCTTTCCCTTCACAGACATAACGTAACATGCCTCCAGACCAGCATTGGGCAGTTTTTTTTGTTTTCATCTTCGGCTGCGATTGTGGAGATGATCATGGTGCCTGAGTTCAACTGGCTGCTGAATTTGCGTTCTTTTTAATGGCTGCTCCCCAGTTACTCATCCACCCCCCATATTAGAGTTAAGTACAAAATTAAAGTTGAAAAGGCAGCATCCTCCTAAAATCAACACACAACTATCAATTCTGCCCACAAAATCAGATTAAGTGGGAAGAATGGTCGTGTAGCAAAACAAATACTACAATCATTGTAGGCACACTACACCAGTTGACACTGGCGCAGGGATATTTTGTGCTGTGTCTTACTGGATCTAAGTTTGGCTTAAACTGTACTTTACAACAGCATAGAACGTGTTTTATAAATGATGGTTGGTTTTTTGAAGCAGGTCTGTAATGACATCTTCAACTCCACGATGGAAAGCAATCTGCAGGGATTCCTGATAGCTGCTTGTTTGTTTGCTTGATGTGAACCAACAGAAGTCTCTTTGGGATATTGATGATGTGGGATGTCAGGCTCATCAGACTTCCTGGGAAGTTTAAAGCCTCATTAGATCTTCACTGCAGATTCAAGCTGTGGCTTAACCTCTCTACCAACTTCAAGTCTAGCCCAGTGCTGTCAGCTACTCTGGTTCTAGTATAATATGAAAACATTTGCTCTTTATTTGCCAAAGATACATCTGAGGAACCAAATTTTTGCACTGTATTTTAACAGGCTAAAATATTTGGTTCCTCGCATGTAACTCTGGCAAAGAGCAAATGTCTTCAACGAAGTAGTTATCCTCAATGATTAGAGGAATAAACACAGTAAAAGACCTGCTGCTAAATAGTTTTTGTTCCTATGTTATGTAGGGGAACACAGTATTTTAACATGTTGAAATATTTGGTTTCCCAAAGGGTGTAACTTTGTAATGATAGTTGGTCGGGACCCTCTAAGGGTGGAGGCTGACGGACCTACAGTTGCTTGACTCAAACACTTTCATTAGGGTTTTCTATTTTCCGAAAATGAAAAAAAAAAAAAAAAAAAAACATTAGTTAGATCCTTGTTGATTTTGAATCAAACCATCTGTTGATATTAAAAAGAACAGTATATTGCCTGACTTAACATTTATTAAACTTTCCCTTTACTTCCCTCATGACAACTGGCTTACTTGCTAACATACCAAATCATGTCATATGTTTTGGCCTAATTTCCTCACTGGATTTGAGTTCCTCCACAAAGCTTAAATACATATTTGAGGTTTTACAATTGTGATAAAACCTGATTAAAATTCTTTCTCAACAAAAGAAGAAAAATGCTGAAAAACAAACTGTTTGAATCAAAGTTCCAGACCAGAAATTGTAAAAAAACAAAAAACAAAACAAAAATAAAAACAGAGGCGCACTAAAACACTGTTTAGTGTAATCTTTTAATGGCTGCAGAATACCTGGAAAAGGAATTTTAAACCCAGTAACCCAATTACCCAGAACTTGAATGCCTTGGACCCACAAACTGACCTTTAGGATGTTTATATGTGGTATTAATTTTATTTCAGTCTGGAATGAAAAATGAGGGCAAATTGTTATGGATGTGCAGACTGCCCCTCTAATCTTTTGGGATTTAGTGTCAGTGTAGTTCAGATGCTACAGTCACAGCAGGCTTCGTTAGACTGTTCACTGTGGAAATTGCGCATTGTTAATGTTTTTTCTGGTGATCTCAGACAAGAAAGATTCTCTCGCATTTTTCAGTTGTGAATTATATCTTTAAAATTTATCTTTATAGATGTTATAATGAACCTGGAGTCTAGACTTTTGCCGTCTGTGTTCAGATTATCAGCATTCCAGACCTTACACTGACTGACTCACTTCTGACTAGTGGAGCACTTCTCTATAGAGATATTTTTCCCCCCGAAAAAAATAGCTTTTACTGGAGAAAATAAATTAATGTCTGAGGTTTTAGAATTAGAAGGAGCCATAACAGAAAAGGTAAACTGATGTTTGTCTCGGTTTAGAGCTCTTGTGGTTTGTTATAATTTGTGGATATGAGCGTCAGCTGGATGTGGGCAGAGATTTGCAATCTCCATATTACTGACCTGTTAGGATGTCACAGCAGGAGAGTGAGAGAGTAGGCTTTTTCTTTTAACTGCTATTAATGTTTGTCAAGTTATATGTTGGATGCTATTCTAGGCTGTTGTTTTTTTTGTTGATAAAGTCAACACACAGTACTAGTTGATCTTAGTTGTTCCTTTTATTTCAATGAGGGACATAGGAACGGCCTGACCTCAGTCTCAAAGTGACTTTTTGTTTGTTCCTTATGTTGGTCCTAAATGTAAAAAAGACAAAATTCATGACATTCTCTAAAGCTCCCTCCCAAAACTCACAGCATCACGGCATTAACACCTTAAGTGGAGAAGCAATTGAGATTGTGTCCTGTTATAAGTACCTGGGTATCTGGATAGATGACAAACTGTCTTTCACAACACATTTAGATAATATGTTAAAAAAGCTGAAAGCCCTGCTCGGCTTTTACTACAGACAAAAATCCTCTTTGATTCCCTCAGTGAGGAAAAGACTTGTTCAGACCACCTTCCTTCCTGTTTCTGACTATGGAGACATCATATATACAGTATGAATGCTGCCTCCTCAGCTCTCCACTCCCTGGACATAGTTTATCACAGTTACGTTTCAGCACCAACTCTGCCTTCAGGACTCATCATTGTGAACTGTATGCTCTGGTTTCATGGCCCTCTCTAAGCCTCAGAAGACAACATCATTGGCTTACTTTTATTTACAAGGCCATCCTGGGTAAACTCCCTGCATACCTGTGTCACCTCATATCTGTAGCTAACAGTGGTTATAACTCACGCTCTTCAAGTCGTGTTCTTTTCACTATTCCCAGGATCAACACAGATCTTGGCAAAACATTTTCATATGCAGCACCATGGTCGTAGCACAATATTCAAAACTCCCTGTAATTACGGACTCTTATTCCGCTACAGCATTTTAAATCACTATTGAAAACCGCTTGCACAGAGAATTGTAACTGTTATTCTAGAGTCTAGTTTATGATTGATTTTATTATGTTGTTTTTATATGTCTTATTGTACTGCTGCCTCTTGGCCAGGTCTCCTTCGAAAAAGAGATTTTATCTCAAGGGACTTCCTGGTAAAATAAAGGTTAAATAAAAATAAAAAAAACCTTGCTGCAGTGCCATCCTTAAAGAAGCATTTTCTTGGGATGTCTCTTTAACTAACTGAATCATTGAATGTCATGCTTTCAAAGATAAATGAAAAGTGGTCAGATAAGTCAGCACCTGTTACAGACACCTTGGAAATGTTTAGTCTTGTCCCTGTTTGTACATTTGGAGTATAACATGTTGAATTAAACCAGAGTTTCTAAGACAATCACAGAGTTCTTCTGCTCTTCTGTCATCAGGACTGTCAATGTGAATGCTGAAATATCCAGCAATAACAAAGCAGTCATATTCAACACATATCGCTTTAAACCCAACTTAGGATACTTAGGATGTTAATATTCCATTTACCTGGAGTCAAATATTCTAGTCAAATTTGAAATGAAAAACCTCATTTAGACTTCAGTAAATCTTTAAACAAGGTGGCCACACCCAAACCTTCGCTGAGTGTTCACACAAAGGAAAATATAGTCATTCTATTCTCTGTGAGAATAGAATGAGAATAAAGAATAAAAACATATCAAGTTTATGACCAGAACCTTGTTAATTAAAAAGGATTTTTGTGACAGATTCAATAAATCCAGTTTAAATGAATTTGTAGCTGACATTAACTTCGTATCTGGTTTTACCACACAGTTTATGGCTTTTATATTTCACTTTTTTACATCTCTCCTATGGCATATTACTGTTTTATATGCAAACTCTGTTTATACTAAATGTTTTTCGGTAGAGAAATAACTACAATCACGTTAGCATGTTCTCAAATCTTAAAACCTTTGTCACAGTTAATAGTTGTTAGATTTGAAGTGTAAGAGTGTTGATTACTTTTTTTGTTTTTCATATATAGAGAGCTTATAAAGATATTAATTAATGTATTTGTTTCTCCTAAACATCGTATCTCCGGTTTGTTCTTCTCTGCCAGTCAATTTGTGGATTTAGCTCTATGCTAGATTTGAAAATAATATAGAAAATCAGCCGCTATAATCCCCATTAATGTGAGTGAAACAAATCCATGTGCTCGGTTTTAATAAAGTTGAATATTTTATGTCTGCATTATTAAAAAAAGTTAAACCTTTTTTTGGTCATTTAAAAGATGTGAAATCAAACCTGTAAATTAAATCAAAACCAGAAATTGTCTGATTTGGTTATGTTGGTTACATACAAGCCAATAATTTGCATCTAAATTTCATTTAGAATTTTATGGAACAAAAATGTCTTCAGTGGAAATTGTTGATATAACTGCATTGAATAAATTATTTTCTTGAATGCAGCCTTTAAAGCTCTGAGCCTCACTGGTTCCTGCAGTTGAACGTTTTTTCTCCAGCACCACTGCTTCTCTGTGCTTTAGGGATTTAAGGACTAAAAGAAAAGAGGGTTCTAGACAAAACCCCCATTTTTAAGTTTGCACTGACTTTACTTTGATAAAATTTAGAGTGATGCAACAGCCTCATGGCTCCTCTCAAACTAATCTGGCATCGCTGCTTAAAACACATTATTAGCAATGTAATTCGTTTGACCTTTTAAAAAAACTGTTAACAAACCACTTTGAGAAGCACAAACTTCCAGCTAAATTTTCTGCTATAATTAGACTGGAGCAGAGGGCTGCTGGTGGAGTTTCACACAATCTTCCACAAATCAGAGGAAACTTCAACTTGTTGACAGAAGATTTAACTTCCTTCAGATTTTATAAATATCCTTTTTCTCATGTTTAAAACTAAATGAAATGTATCCCGAATAACAAATGGGTAAAAAATAGAAATATAGTGTTACTAGACAAAAAAGGAATCACTTTTACTTTTTGAAAAATATATGTTAGTCTTCAAATAAAATGGGGGAAAACTAACCAACAACAGAGATGTTTTTAAAAACCTTTGGAGCTTTAGAAACAAGTCACAATAAAATCCCCTAAAATCACTTTATTGACTTAAAGACCCCACATTTATACAATTTAATGAAATAAATCTCAAACAATCTCATGTGTAAAATATTATTGATAAACTTAAACATACAAACTTTAATGCACCTTTCCTTCCTTGTTTGCACCTTCTTTAATTACTATGCCAATATGTGACCAGTGAATTTCTCCGCTGTGAGATCAATAAAGCTCATCTAATCTAATCTTTATTAAAAAAAAATATTTATCAGAAAAAAATTACCCATTTAAAGGAACAAAGAAAAACACCACTTTGAAGAAACAGTTGAGAAAACACAAGTTTTCCTGATAGAAAAATTCTTTCAAACGACTTGAGTGAGATCAAGATCAAGAAACAAAAAGACAATAGTGATACAAATTTTACTTAACTGAATTAATGAATAATAAATGTAAATTATTTGATAAAAGTCTGACATTGACAAATATGAATCTGACTCTGGCTTAATAAATCTGTTGTGTTTAATTAACCCATATAACTAAATCCCAAATGAAAGCACAAAAGCAGAATTGCAAAAACAGAAAAGTCTCAAAAGAAAGGTTTCAAACATTAAGAGATTAATTCTAAGTCATTTACATTTTTTGATATTGTGATTTATAGACTTTTTCCTCAGCCTGTTTTTCATTGTGAATTTAGTTGCCGGTCTTCACATTCATCAAATTTTCTCCTTCGCTGTTCATCTGTAAAAATGTTGATAAATAGACAGATTGTTTTTTATTAATCAGGTTTTTTTTAAATAAACTTCTGAAATCCAGTGGAAAATGTAATCAAAGATTGACCCTAAAGGTATTACACTCCAAGAACATTTTATTATAATTAACTTACTTTCTTGGGATTTGATCCATCTGAAGAGGAGGATGCCGTGTCAGAAGCTAAAAAAAAAATGAAATGTAAACTTTTCTATTTGGCTTTAAAATTGTTCCATCAGCAACATAATATTATGAGACAAAGCAAAATGAAAATATTTGTAATACTCACTATTTGCCCGCTTAAATCCTGAAAAAAAAACAGCATAACATTTATTTATAGTTTTTATAAAAGGAAACTATTATAAAATATTTGCATTTAAATGAATTAAATCAGGAAATCTTGAAATGTAATGTTTACTCAGAAGCATTAAACGATAAATATAGCTGAAATATAAACAAATAGTATGTAAGCAGGTTTTATGATTCTTGGAACATATCTTTGGTTTCTCACCGTTATCTCTCTTCTTCCACCAGACGACTCCAGCAATGATGGCAACCAGAACCAGAAGTGCAGCAATAACAACCCCAATAATCATCCCAATGGGGAATCCTGAAAGAAAATTATTTAAATTGATTAAACTAAGTAAAATATCACAAAAAAAATAAAACAAAAAAACATTTGAAACAAATGTGTTGGGGGTGAAAAAATATTAAAGCCTTGGAGTAACAACTGCAGTAAAAATATTGATTTTGATAAAGCATCACTGTTATTTAAGCTCTGAATTTTTACTTATAGTTTGAGTTTATCCAAACATCACTTTGTGCTTATGAACTAAAATCAAATGTGGTCAACTTGTTGAGCTTTAAGGGTTTTAGAAGCATTTCTGCCTGGAAAAAATCCTAACTGAAATAAATGAAAAATAGCTTCATAATTATCAGACTTAGATGCAAGCCTTTAAAATTTGTGCAAAGGTAAGACATATAAACACTGTTTTAATTGGAACCATTAATTCAACTTTTCCTATTTCTGATTTATTTGTTATTAAAAAGATTTTTTTTTTTACCTCAGGCACAATAAACATTTTATAAACACAGAATACATAAACAGCTCTTTATGCGCTCTTTCTAACTACATAGTTTTAAACACAATGAAAAAACTTTTAAAAACCAGGAAAAACCTTAGATTTTATAAATCAATATATTTAGTTAAACACATTTGTTCTTTTCAGAGGTTTTAGTGGGAGTTGTGGCAGGCGGAGTGATATTTTAGCACAATTTAGCCAAATGTAACAAAATTATGAGAAATAATTTTTTCACCTCATGAAAGTGGAAATCTGGTCTCAATAAAGTATTGACTTCCATTATAGGAGTTATTCTGCATAACAAAGAGCCTTTGGCAATGACATTTGCTCGCTTTATCATTATCAGTTTCAGCAAGAAGAGGGCTCTTCTGTTATGGTGTTTTTCTCACGGAGTCGGACGTGTAAAGGAACTTTAAATCTCCTTCCTGTGTTCAGATTGTTCTAAAAAACACAAAATATTGTGCAAAACCCATTTACCTGTGGAAGTAAACATTTCCGCAAACTAATTAATACTATGAGGACAAATCAATAGTATTCCAATAATAAAAATAATTTCTACTTTTCTGTTTATTTTGTGTTTATTATTTCTTAAGTATCTTAAAACATCAATCACTAGGATGATTTTAACAGACCATCACTGCCAACGTTTCTGCCTTTCTGCAGATTTAATTTGATGGAGGAACACCCTCTTCCTTCTGTTTATAAACAGCCTGATGGGAGACCTCTCAGGTCTGCTGCTCTCTTTTAGGTTGAACCAATATTTTTGCTGCCAGACCTCATGCTGCTCTTTTGTACGTTTATTTTTTCAAAACATCAAAAACATAATATTTATTTAAAACTGAAGTTTTAAATGACTAAATTTGAAATGATGCATTTCTACCATAATTCTATGCTGCTGAAAACAAACAGCCAGCAATGAACCCAATCATGAAGATAAAAAGAATTCAGGATTCATTTCCGTGTTGGAGTTTAGTAAACTTGTAATTGATGAAGATTCTCATCAACTTTAATTTCTCAGCTTAGCTGCACTGTAGGAGCTCCATCATTACTCTACTGTAAATAGTCTTGTTAGAAAAATTTATCTTTCACTTCTGTTGAACACGTCCATTGAATCTGATTTAGGCTGAGCTCCCATCATAGGGGAGATGTTGACCTGTAGCTGCTGAGGAGATGGTAGAGATCCAACTAAATATTTATATGTTTGCCTCAAATAAACAGTTTAAGCCACTAATCTTTTTTTAGGAGAAGTTATATTAATAATGTCCATCTCCTTTATATCAGGACATGATCTCCTCCTTCTGATCTGCATTACAGGCCTGTTAATTTTTAACTGAACTTTATTGATCTCACATTGGAGAAATTTATCTCTGCATTTAACCCATCCCCTTGGGGAGCAGTGGGCTGCCATCGTGCGGCGCCCGGGGATGTAGGGTTAAGGGTCTTGCTCAGGGAGCCAGAGTGGCAGTCTGGGGGAGTGGGGGATCAAACTCCCTATACCCTAACCACTAGGCCGCCACTCCCCCATTAAAACTCTGTCCTTCGAGCTGGATATGAACCAGCAACCTAAGGATGTCTTCTAATGTTCTCTACAGTCCTCCACTCTACCGACTGAGCTGTGGAAGGTAGAGAGCTGTTAGTTAAATAATGTGTGAAATAATATAAAACAATATATAAATATGTTACCAAAATGTAGAATAAGAAACTGAAGATAAGATAGATGGAAAAATAAACCAATAAACAAGTGAACAAATTTAAGATATGAGTAAACAAAAGGGTGGAAAATAATAATTGTATGACTTTTTAAGGCTTTTAGATGACTGTTTATGACCTTTTAAGACCTTTGTTTCAACTTTAGTTTAACCCCAAAGAGATGTAAAGCAGAAAACCTGAAACTAATTTTGTGCTCTTCTGTTTTTCCAATATGAAATAAATGAAAAAATAAATTAAGCAATGTAAAGTGACAAACTTGAGTATCTACAACAAATATATATAAATAAAATCATGTTTTAACTACATATTGTTTTTAAATTCCATTAATAATACTAAAGTTTTACCTTCATTAGTTCTGATCTTTGTTTTGTCCAGAGGAGTGACGACATCTCTGTTATCACCAGAGAGCTGAAACACACATTCATATTTGGTCCCATCCTCAGATGATGGAAGGTTCAGGTCAACGCTCATCTGGAAGGTTCCATCATTGTTAGGGAGGATCTCTCCTTTCTCCACACCATCATGGATCTCTGCTCCATCTTTCCTCCAGAACATTTCTGCTCTACTGGGGTAGAAACCTGTAGCAAAGCAGCTGACCTGAGAGGAGGAAGACTTCTGGAGGAAGGACACTGAGGGACGATCTGGAGATGGAGACAATTAGAGTTTAAATATAAACTGTTTGGGGAATAATGTCTGTTTAAATGCAGATTGATTTAAATGTTTAAAAATGAATAAAATATAAAAACTGAGTCACATTTAAAATGCAGTGAAGTGAAACAAAATTCCCTTGAACATTTTTGGTAAAATAAAACATTAAAATAATGTTTATTTAAATAAAAATCGGGAAAGGTTTCTCTACCTGTTCTCATCAGAGAGCTCCTGCCATAGTTCACATACTTCTTTAGCCACTCAGGACACAGTTGGTTGAGGTAGTTCTTATAGTACTCCAGCTCAGCTCTGTTATTGTTCCATTTGTATGTAGTAATTACAGCCTGTTGTTTTGGAGCAACCCAGGTGTTTGTGTTCCATGTTAGAAAGTCTTCCCCATCATAGCCATACTGTTGATAGCCAGTAACCTCTCCAGTGTCAGCATCCCACTCACAGCCGTACATGTACTGGAAAATGTGGACACCTAGAAGAGAGTAAATGCAATCTCACTTTAGTTTTCTTAAACGCTCATTTTTATTAAAACACCTTTAGACATCTTAGAGATAAACTAAAATTAATTGTTGAGAAAAAACTTATTTAATATCCTCCATAGAAAATTTCATCACGAACAGATTTACTTCCTGCATAGTTTATTTTCACTGATCAAAGCACTGCGACTTAATATAATCTATACAGTTGGTATGAAGGGATTGTGGAAGATTATGAATTAAGATAATCTCATCATCCATTTAGTTTTCTGCTCTCTACAGCTTCAGTCTCTGTTCTCCATCCTCCATCAGTGTCTCTGATCTTCCTGCTTCCTCTCAGTCTCTAATGTTTCAGCTGATCTTCTCTCCTCCATCTCTGTGTTTCTTCTCTAAACATGGAAACAAACAGACCTGTCCACAGATCTCCTCGCTAGAACCAGAACCACTGACCCAGGAGCTCCTTCTCTATAAAGCAGCTCCATCTAAAGCAGCTGTTGATCAGGATGGTTTTTCCAGATGTTCCCTCCTGATCAGAGGAAACCTGATTAAAGCTTCAGTCCATCAATAAACTGTCAGTGATCAGTGAGACAGTCTGAGCTGCTTCCAGCTGCCATCAGGATGATCTTCCAGCTGCTGATCAATAAAGTCCCAGTTTAGCTGCTCTCAGCTCTTTATTTCTCTGTTTGCTTCCAGACGACTGAAGGAGCAGAAACCTGATTGTGTCTCATGAAGCTTCCTGCTAACCAGACCAACTGTGTTTCTGCTCTGAGCTGCTGAGACGTTTGTTCCCTGAGTGTCTGAAGAACATGGAGGACATGATGGAGAGAAAAGCAGCTTCATCCAGCAGCTGCTGCTGGAAACAGAGAAGCTGCAGCAAAGAGCCTCGACCGTCTGAACGGTTCTACTGGGTTTGATCCAATCTGCTGAACCTGAAGGACAAACTGCTTCCAGCGTCACAAAGTTCTGCTTCCCTCTGAACCCAGAGATGGTTGGACCTGCTCTGCTCCACTGGATGCAGCTGGAGGAGGTTCCTCACTAAGAGCAGAACCACGTCTGGGTTTAACGTTCCTCTCATGGTCCTCTGAGGTGACCTGCTGGTTCTTCTCCAGCAGCAGAGGTCCAACTCTTCTCTCCCAGCATGGAGCAGACTAATCATCCCGTCTCTGTCTCATTTCTGTCTCTGAACAGACGGAGGAGAAAAGCTGCGTCTATAATGAAGGTTCTGGACCAGAGCGGTTCTGATCCACAATAAACGACCTGCTGGACTGAGATCAGCTCAACAGAACCGGGTCAGACTGTCTGACACATGTTGGCTCTCAGCTACAGGTTCTACATCTGAACCAGAACCAGTTTGGACCTCAGTTTCAGTTTGGTTCTAGATCCTGATCCACCAGCTGAGGGTCAGCAGGAAGGGAGGCGACAGGTCAAAGGTCAGGAAGCTGGAGAACAGCAGAACATGTTCCTGAAGGTTCTGATGTCTGGAAGGTTCTGAAGCGACTGTCAGTGATGGAGACCCAGAGAGGAAATCATCTCTGATCTCAGGTTTTAGGTTTGATTCTTCATTTGGACTCATTCAGGATTTTTCTGCTTGTTTTTGGTTCTTTGACCAAATATGGAAACATTTCAGGATTTTATTGATCAGAGAATCGATTCTATTTCTATCTGATGTCATTTTATTCATTCATAGATTTTATTGATCATTTTTTTTCAGCTAATTCAGCATCAAACGGATCATTGATGGTTCTGACAGAACCGACAGCCTTCAGTCATTCTGACCTGGTTTCATCTCATCTGGACTTTATCTACCAAACAAACTGGTTCTGTTCAGTAAAGTTCTGCTGCTGGTTCCTTTCAGTCCAAATGGGTCCATTTTACTGATGTTCTGTCTGTTAACTGGATTTAAACTCATTTCCTCTGAGAACAAACGGATCTTCCTGCAGCGTCTCCATCCTGCTCGGCGCCGCTCAGCTCGGTCCAGAACCTGGTTCTGATGGAGCGCTTTCCTGTGGGTAGGGGCTAACTGTTAAAGTTCTGGTGGGAAAGTGTTCCTGATATCTGTTGATTAATGTGAGACGAACAGAACCACTGAGTTCTACAGAGGTTCTGGTCTCAGAGGGTCTTCAGCTGTGGGAGGTTCTTCCTTTGGTTCCGTTCTTCAGCCTCTAACAGCAGAACTGGGTCATGGTCTGGTTCTGCTGGTTTTTGTCCAGCAGAACCAGTTTAACTCTTTACTGGAACCAAAAAGGATCCAAACCTGAACTTTTTCATGACCTTTGACCTCTGCAGGACCTTCTGACTGGCTAACGGTCACCTTTCAGCCAATTAGAGTCCATTTCCTCTTTGACCCTGATGAAGATGATGGAGCTTCATCTGAGCTGCTGGACCAGAACCAGAACTCCTGATCCTTCCTCTAACATCTCGCTTCATCAGTTCAGGAGCTTCCTCTTCCTCTCTGCAGACCTGAACCTTCAGCAGGTTTTCTAGAAGCTTCCACTGAAGCAGAGTTCATCTCCAGGGTTTGATCCCTGCAGGAACATCAGCACAGAAGCAGCTTCAATGTTCCAGCTGAGATGGATCCTCTGTGGTTCTGAAGGTCCATCATTCCTGCTCCTCTCCTCTGATGCTCTCACAGCTCTGCTCTCTCTGCAGCTTCAAGGCCAACAGATCCCAGAAGAACCTTCAGAGCTGAAGATGCTGCAGCTCTGCTAACAACAGAACCAGAACCAACTCTAACTGGGCAGACTGGTGTATGGAGAGCAGAACCAGCTGATGGTCCGGTTCCTCCCAGCAGCAGAGCTTCTGTCTGTGGAGGATGGAGACTCCTGGACATGGAGCCAGGTGGCAGTCTGAGAGGAACCAGAGGATCTACCTGAAGGAACCACAGCTGCTCAGGAACAGAACCATCAACTAGGATCTGTTCTGGTTCTGGTTGGACCCAGATCCTCCTTTGTTCTCCTTCATGTTTCTGTGTTTGGAGACGCTGCTTTGCCTTCAGGAAAAACTGACTTCATGTTTTTATCAAGTGAAGCTTTAAAAGATCCAAAAGTTTCTGAAAACTGGAAACATCAGAACTTCTCTGATGTTTCTCTGCAGCTTCAGTCTCTGTCCTCCATCCTCCATCAGTGTCTCTGATCTTCCTGCTTCCTCTCAGTCTCTAATGTTTCAGCTGATCTTCTCTCCTCCATCTCTGTGTTTCTTCTCTAAACATGGAAACAATCAGACCTGTCCACAGATCTCCTCACTAGAACCAGAACCACTGACCCAGGAGCTCCTTCTCTATAAAGCAGCTCCATCTAAAGCAGCTGTTGATCAGGATGGTTTTTCCAGATGTTCCCTCCTGATCAGAGGAAACCTGATTAAAGCTTCAGTCCATCAATAAACTGTCAGTGATCAGTGAGACAGTCTGAGCTGCTTCCAGCTGCCATCAGGATGATCTTCCAGCTGCTGATCAATAAACTCCCAGTTTAGCTGCTCTCAGCTCTTTAATTCTCTATTTACTTTCAGAAAAAGCACTGTTAATCTGGTTGTGTGTCAGGTTTCCTGTCAGAATAATAATATTTCAAACTTGTTACTCAATACAACTTCCTTTACTGCTGAATTCCTTTTTGTTCAAGGCAAAATTACTTGTGGTCAAAGGCAAATAAATATTTATAGAATGACAGTTGACTTAAAAATGGTTAAATGATTATATAAAACAACATAAATACATGGGATATTTTTTAAAGGCGTTACATAGCTATTTTCCTTTTATTAAATTTGTCTGAGAATTTAAAGAGTATAGGTTTACATGTTGAGCAAGTTTTTTTTTTTCTGCGTTTATTTTGAATTCTGTCCATTTCAGTCCTCAATTAAATTAAGTCCACCCCGACAGCAATACAACTTAAAGTGTTAATATCATGCGGGCAGAAATGTATCTTTAATTTTGTCACTTAATTATTTATTTTACTCTAATCTCATTAGTAAAATTAAAACTACCACTGTATGCTTTCTTGGTCTGGCAATTTGCTAATAATAAAAGAAATTCCTACAAGGAGCCAAATATTGAACGTTTTTATGCCAAAAACAAACACTGATCAGACTCATACAAAGTATATGTGCCACAGAGCAAAATTTGTTTATTATTTTAAATCTTTGGAAGCCAAGCAGTCATACTGATTGGAAACTGTTTTATTAATTGTAGTTTTCTCCTGATAATGACATAACTATTTCATTATCATGGTTAAACTATTGTTTTTTTTTGTTTTTTTCAAAGATACGTATCTTATTATGATGAGAAAACATTATTGTTTGCTTGTCATGAGATGATTTTCATGAATCAAACATGGGGAAAAAATCATCTAACCAACAACCTTGTCTCATCACCTAAAAGTTAGGTTATTCATAAGATTATTCCTAGAATTACACATGACTAACATGTATAAATCCTCTCCTGCTGTTGTGTTTTTGAAGGATGAAGTCCTAATTATTTTAACTCATCTCATCAATCAATCATTCAAGAAAGCAAAGATTTTTTTCTCAAGATGAGGAAAAAAAAGGACTTTGCTGAGGGTTCCTTACTGCCTTAATTCACTGTGGTATTTTAGTCATTTCAGCTCTGTAAAATATTTCATAAAATATTTCTTTTCATAAAAGAAATAGAAAACTGCTGGAGGAAACATCATTCTCCTCCAGCAGTTGTACTATGTAAAAAATATATTTTTGGCATGTAGAATGTTTGGTTATACAAAAATAACATTTTAGAAAACTACCCTTAAAATATTATATATGTCTTTTAGTGTGCCAATATTCTACTGCTCAGTTGTACATTTTAAAGTCTGTTTGTTTAACCACTCAGCCATGTTGCAAATCCTGTTTTCAAGGTCACAAAAAAAAAGTTTATTTTGAGGATGACATGCAGAGGCATCTCTACAAGCTGTACTGAAGAGAGTGTAAGTGTCTGATCTCCATAGGGATTTTATTTTCAAGACCCTAAAAACTAACATAAAATAATACACATTAAAAGTATTTGCTATTTGTTTTACTAATTGCAAATAAGCAAAAAAAAAAAAAAAAAAAAAAAAAAAAAAAACTGAATCTGATCTGAATATTTTCATGTAGAGCATCCATTTAGTATCAGGTTACTTTATATAACACTGCTATAAAACTTTTGGATTTACAAGTTCTGCTTCTTTTTCCACATGAAAACCTCTGCAAAAGGGCTCCATCTAATGGGAACTATTACCTATATAAATAATTTTGACTTGATTATCTTTTAAAAATGTATTTTTCTTAGCAAATTTTGATGTATAATAAGAGACATTTGAGTTTCTTATAAGTACTTTAAATTTCACTATCTAAACAAAAACTATTTGATTTTTGTATTAAAAGGGTTTTAAAAAATCTCATGTTACAATAATTTTTTCATGAAATAATATCAGTATTTTTTAATCTTTAAAACAACACTTAGAATTACATTAAAAAATTATTAGAAAAGGGGAAATAAAGTTGTCAAACTTTCTGTAATTTTCTAGTGAGAGAAAAAAAAAAAATCTACCTTGTGACTGATTAAACCGCTGCATTGCAACTTTTATGTTATTGCTGAAGCTTGGTACATAGCCCAGAAGAATATTAGTCTGTTGTTCGTCATACTCCTGGCCCAGGTTCTCAGTCATCCAGCTCTGCTTGCTTTCAAATCTGTTGGTCTTGCTGTCAAAGTACCCCATCAGCTCATCATTCACAAGATTCACAGCTACAAACTCGGGGAACTGACTCAGACCAGTGGTGCCGGTGTAGAATGCCTTCCACGAGTGTATAACTGTAATAAATATGAAACAAAGAGATGGAGAGAAATGACTACACAAAAAGCAACATTCTTTTATATAAATCTTCCATATTAAGATAAAATAAGTTAACCAACATCAACCACCTTATTCATTGAATTAAAAAGCTTTTTGAAAATACAATTAGTGATTTGGTCCATAATCCTTAGTTTTTTGGGTCATGTTTGACAATGTATCGAATAAGCAAAGTCTTGGGAAAACGCACTTAAAACAAAACCAACTAAAATAATAAATGAAAATAACAAATTATCATCAGCAGCGGAACTTCTTACCAGCAGAAGTGGCCTGGATACAAAGGAAAGTCACCAATAACTGCTTCATATCTGCAGGTAATCTACCAGATCTCAGTAATGGTGAACTACTGCACTCAAACACATATATACCTCAGACTGACTGGGAGGGATTAGCTCTGGTGGGCGGGGCCACCAGCGGACCAATAGGAATTCAGAAAATTATTTTCTGATTGGTTTCTAGGAAGATTCTACAGCTAGACGTTTCACTCAAGTAATAAAAAACGCAAGTCGCACTAACGAGAGATTAACACTTTCTATCTTCCCGAAAATGTGTCTCTTATCTTGATAATTTTGATAAATTAGCAAAAGGAAACAACATAATGATTTATCTATTTTCAGACTTAATCTGACGGAGGTAACAGTGTTTTTGCTTTGAACCAATTACCTATTGTCCAACATTTGGAAGGGTGTTTAAAAAAACTATTTCAGCAAAAAGTATTCATCGTTGGTAAAATTCGAAGTATCGTTTAACGTACAATAAATAAACGACATTTTAATCCAGTTTTACAAAGATCTTACATAGTATTTTAGATATATTACCTGCCGCGATATCTTGTAGGCCCATAGCCAACAGAGCCACAAAAATAACACTTTTCATTTTGTTCCGTCGCTGTTTACTCTCACAAAAATGAAATGATTCCGTTCTCTGTCACTGATGCGCGGTTATGCTGTCTCCTGCGGGATTCAAGGCTCAAATAGAGGGTAAATGTTCAATGGTCAGTAATATCCTCCACTTCAACCAATGGAAATTTTTGAATTAGGACAACGTCATCTAAATCTCGGTAGAATTGAATGAGTAAGGATAGGAACGAAAGTGAAAGTAGCAATATTTTCAGGGTAACTGTAGGGTTGAGCTTTAATTCATTTCTTTGTTTTTATTTTAGTGATGGCTATCTCTGAAACCTTATGAAAGTTTTCCTGTTTTAATTCTGAATACTAAGCTCTGCCATGGGCAGATTACCAAAGTAAATGTCCTTCCCTGTGAAATAAATTAACCTCTGTGATATATGTGATATGCAATCAACTGGTTTTCCTTATAGAAAACTTTGTCTCAATTTGACTGTATGATCTGGTTGAACTGTAAAGTGCCTTGAGATGACATGTGTTGTGAATTTGGCGCTATATCAATACACTGAACTGAAATATATATATATATATATAATATATATATATATATATATATATATATATATATATATATATATATATATATATATATATATATATATATATATATATATATATATAGCCTATATACAGACAGAGAGAGATAGTATCATTTTGTTAAGATAGACCATATAGAAATATGTAGTATTTGAAAAAAAAAAAACAATAATCCAATTAATTGTGAGTCTGATACGTTTGTGAATTCTCTAATACTGAGATTACAGTGCCCTCTACAGGTAAAAAAATAGATTTTTTTTATTATTTTTTTTCTTTTTGTTCTCTATTTTTCTTTTTTCCTATGAACCCTTAGCTAAACTCCAATCTGAAACTGGTCTTGAGATGTTGTTATAGAGAGCATCACTCCTTCGAACAGAATCTAACACTTTAAGGTATTCTTTTTAATCGGAATACAATCTTCATATTTCTTGCTGTTGATCTGGTCATTTGGAGGGGAAAGGGAGGTATGCACTGTTATTGCGGTTGTGCACCTTAAGGAAAATCGTCTCTAGTGAGCCTTTCTGCATGTAAAGGTTCTTTTTTAGTGTAATATGATCGATAACAGAGGGTCAACCCTGAAAATGCTCCTCTGCTCCTCTACCTCTCTTCCTGCCCCCCCCCCCCCCCCCCCCCCTTCCTGTGCATTCAACTAGACTATGCTTCTTTGATTGCTTTTTTTTTGTACTTTATTAAACAATTTCAAAATTACAAAATAGGCACAAGTAAACATAAACTGTCAACATGCTGATGAAGATTCTCAGTCATCCAGATCATAGTCATTACGTAAAAGTAAAAAAAAAAAAAATAAATCCCTGGACTTGGTTTCCAACATTTCAAATCTTGGAAACCAAGTCCAGTGGATTTATTTTGTACTTTTACGGAATAAAGTGTCAACCAAAAATAGCCAAGCATTCCTTTAACCAGATTTACCATAGCCATATGAATTGCCTTGACTACAGACAGGAACTGTTTCTGTGGACAATTTAAGTAAAAAAAAATAAAAATAAATCTAGATAATCTAAAATGTCACCCTCTGTATCCATTAAGTGCACAGTGGCCTAAACTCCCCTTTCCTCCCAGTCCTTATAGTAAAATGATTTTCTCTTGTAGAATATATTATTTATTCCAAACAATCATATTATGTCGATTGAGATTGTGTTTGTATAGCATTTTCCAGTATATTGATATCTTTGTGTGCTAATCTGACAATTTAATGTGTAACTTTGAGGGATCAAAGTCACATTTCAACAAAAATTTAATTCAACTAACTCTGAAAAAGCTGAATAAGGAAACCAACCATTTTAATTAAATTAAAGAATTCATCACCTCAAAATCAATAACCTTCATCCCTCCCTGTGTTATTGGTTTTTGAATGTCAGTCTTTCTGATCAAATGCTGTTTATTATTCCATATAAAACTGTAATTAATTTGATGGATTTTTTTTATTGTACTGTTTGGTATATTTAAACTGTGTGCTTGAAAAATTCTTGTTGATATCCTCTCCATTTTTGTGAAGCTGAGGTTCTGATTGGCTAATTACAAAGTTAACGCACCCTGATTAAATTTCCCAAAGCTAGATTGGCTGAAGGAGAAAGAGAGGGGAGTGGTGAGTTGAGGAGTAGATAAATATCATTTAATCTTTCCTCACATTCATCACTCCACCTTCAGATGAAACAACAGGAGAGAACCTGCAGAAGAAACTCTCTATTCCCTGAGATGTGAGAGAGCTGTGGTCCATTTCAATAAGCGGGTTTGCTGAAAGCTGTACGTTTTCTAAACCTGGATTTAGAGAATGGTAAATTAAAATTTCAAACAAAATGACATTCATCCATCCATCCTTTTTCTGTAACGCTTCATCCATGCTGGGATAGAAAGGGGTGCTGATGTCTATCTCCAGCTGTCTACAGGCGAGTGGCAGGGTGCAACCCGGACAGGTCGCCACTCCATCGAAGGCAAAATTACATTCTTCATATCTAAAATAAACATTCTGGTGTTCGGAAATTTATTTCATTTTTCCTTATTCCCATTGGCACCAGTCATACTGTAACTTGTATTATTTTGACTATGAAGAAATATATTTCAGATATAATAAATACATATTTAGTCAAGCTGATAAATGTCAGAACGGCCCCTTGAAATATTTAAATATTTTATGTATACCACTAAAGTAAGAGTTGCACCACTTCTTCATATTTTTACTCAGGTACAAGTAAAAAAGTAACCTTTGAAGAAATTACTCAAGAAAGAATAAAAAAGTAGGTGGTAAAAAAGCTACTGAGTGAAGAAAAAAAATTAACAAATAAGCCTAGAGTACATAAAGCAAGAAGTTTGTCTCTTAATGGTGCATAGTTGTTTAGAACGAGCCTGTTTTCATTAAGTGCATTCATAAGTGCTGCTGTTTCAATTCCCTGCCACGGACTACCAATAATGAAGGGATACAATTTAACATGCTTTTTAAGAGTGGACAGTGGATTTCTGAGTCATTTTCATAAGAGTAAGTTTTTCCAACGGTGCAAAATTATGAATATGGACGTGGTTCATAAAACAGGTTTTGATAGCTTTCTTATAAGCAGAGGTTTTAAAACATCTTTTTAGTTAGTAAATAATCAATGACCTAAATGTAACAACTGTTGAAAGGAGTGAAATGTAGGTAGATAGTCCCTGGTTGCTAGACTACAGTACTTGCCTGACTTATTGGAAAAGGATGTCTCTGGAAATTATATAAATAGCATGGGTCAGCATATGCTGTCTGATAAACCAGGAACTTTGTAAGGGCTCTAACATAGGGTAACACTTGGTAGGTCCAATAATATACAAACCCAGGTTGATTTCAGATTCAAAGCTTGAGAAGAAGGGAAGAGATGGGGGGGGCTAGATTCCAGTAACACTGTTAAATACATCTTTTTATGTCAAATCTCGTTGTAGTTCATGAATGAAGTAAAACCTTGTTCTATCTTTATGCAATATTAAGAAAATATTTATCTTTCCCCAAAACCAAAATGTAGTAATGACTGTAAAATTATGTTTCACTGGTGATTTTCCATATGTTTTCCACTCATAAGACAACTGACAAAGGCAGGTGTAAGATTCTTATTGTCCATATTGAGTAAAGTAATTGGTCTTAAGGTATTGTGGCATACAGCAATCAGCTGAGAAAGGATACATGTTTAACATGATGTAAGTTTAACACTGTTTATGTTCAGTGTGGTGAAATTGTTTTCCAAAAAGGACAGGTTGTTTTGTTATTTCTAAATTAGTTATTGAACACTAGTCACTGTCTAATCCTGACCAGCAGAGGGCGCGTTCGCTACACAGTATGTTCCCGATACAGATGAGGCTTGAGACAATCTCACGCAATTTAATGTTTGTATTGCACAAATTATGGTGTTAAATTGCTGCCAAAAATTAGACGAGCATATTAAGGAATCACAATAGTACAATTACTAATCACAACCGTGCATTTATGCTGGTTAAGGTTCTCAGTCATCCAGGTCATAGTCATTCCATTTCAAAGGTTTAGTGGGGTGCAAATCTGGTCCGGAGTGAAACTGGTCCTGTTGTTTAGGTCACTTTCTTGTTAAAGACATTTCCTGATTGTTTCCACTGCCTCAGGTATGCACATGAAAAGAGAGGTAACATCAAAAGACATCAGGGTTTCTCCTGATACCATCTTTAAATGTTTGACTTTTAGGCCATGTGGTTTGTTCTGTAATGTGTTTTTAAAAGTGTGAACCTTCCAGGGGTTGACAAAAATTAGCAATACCAAACTCTGGTATGAGGCATCTCATCTTTTTAAGTTTAGTATATTTTGTACACTGTCACTGTTAAAAAAACAAAACGAAAAAAAAAATTTAACGGAATGTAACTGCAAAGGCA